CTTCGGAACTACTATGAATTTTTTGAACTGCGCCCTGCATATATTAAGCCAAACAGGTGCGCGCATTACAAAACCAATAGCAAGTGGCCTAGACGCTGTTCTGACAGGTTCATGGGTGATATTGGTTGGTCGCGATAGCGCCCTCTTGCGGTGGCCGGTTATCGCGGTGGCCGGTTATCGCGGTGGCGGGTTATCGCGTATCAAACAAGAACAGTGTCTAGCCCCTAGACTAATCACACTGGCTCCGAGTGCTGAAATCGGCTCTGATAACCCCCCGGCTCTGAGCACTGTAGTCTCGGTCCTTGTGTTTTTATTCAACGAGCGCACAATCAACCCACCCAAACCATTATCATAAACCATCGTTGATAGAGGGCGCTATCACACACAGACCGCTATCACCCACAAACCGCTATCACACACGAACCGCTCCTGTGACAGCGGATCGTGTGTGATAGCGGTACTTGAGTGATAGCAGTTTGTGGCTGATAGCGGTCTGTGTGTGATAGCGCCCTCTATCAGCGATTGTTCGTGATAATGGTTTTGGGCGGGTTGATTGTTAGTCCGAGTATCACACGTTATCCACGGAACAAGACTCCTGTATAACGTCTGATATGTCTAGACACACATATATACAAGCTGCGCGCCAGCCAATCGGAGTCGACTTTACTAAATCGTGACCTCATTTCATTCCTAAATCAGGACTAAATGGTTTGATTGGTCAATTCGAATGCAGTGTTTTGTAATGCAACAACAGCCGGGCACATTATCGCGTAACATGATGCAGAGCGCGTGACGCAGGGCTTTTTAATCCATTGTCTATGACGTGCAACGGGTAAATGACCGAAGACCCGATATATAGAAAGCGCCCGCTGATTGGTCAAAATCTAGGAGGTCAAGAGCGAGGTCTTGCCTTATTAATCAGTGAATCTGTTCACATATCATAGACCCATGGCATTTTCTATTACATAGACTAGTTGATTGTGCGCTCGTTGAATAAAAACACAAGGAGTGTCGAGAACCGAGACTATGAGCACTGCTTCTGCGAGAATTGGCTCTAATAATAAATACTGACCTGGGTACAGTGCTGTTTTGAGATTTGGATTTTGCAGGCCGTGGGGTACAGGTACAACATTCCCATCGTTGCACGAAAATGAATTCACCCTTTGCTTCGGCTCTTTCTGATCGGTGCACATGTGTGAAGAATAAAAAGTCGTGCAGCTGTGCACTTAAACACGTGGGCTGCTACATGTACCTGCTAGATAATAATGCAGTGGACTCGATCCGGACCGTCCGTGACTCGTTCGAATCAGAGCCAGGTAAATTTGTACCTGGGTCCATCAAAGCCAATTCCAGCACTCAACTGGTTCCACCCTACATATGGTGTTCACTGAAAGCAGGGTACCAGTGTGTACGTGCGAACCGTGTGCATGTACACTTCAACTACTTGTGCTATGCATGCAGTGAATCATTCTATTCTCGGTGGCATGGCGATCGTCCCGGTAAATAAAATCATAGGCAAGGAACAGAGAATAAAGTAATAAACGCTAAGCTTGCTTTTCAATAACACAATAAACATAGTTTCACATGAAAAAAAACCCACACATTTGAAACCAAGTACGTAGTGGAATAACATGTATTGCGCTCCGAATTAATGCACAGAGCACGGACCTCACAAGGTGACACCGTTATTCTTTACATGTAATTTCAACAGCTTATGTTTTTCATTGAATTTCTGGGAGCCAGTTCTGACTTGGAACCAGTTCTTTTTTGAGAACTGGAACCGGCTCCAGAAAGATTGGAACCGCGCAAGCCTAAAAAAAACCCAGGTTTCTCAATGACACATTATGGAACAGAATTGCATAACTACTCCTCTGGGTATCTCCAACCTAAACTTACATTTGTTTTTTCAATGGTATTTGGACATTGTCGACCCGTGATGAAGTGCAGTTGTCTTCAGTAAGAGAGAACCATGTCTATATCTTCAAGTCCTATATATTCAGATATTTCAATTCAAATGTCATAGTTTTAGGGCAACTTCATACTATACAACTTACAGTTTGATTATCTCAAAACAGTAAGTTGGCATTATTTTCTGACTAATATTAAGTTTCTATATTAGGGTATCAAGTATTGATTCTCAACTGCCCTTCATTGCAACCATTACATTTTCTCAGATTTCTTATGCGCAAGTAGTGTTCCATCCACACACATAATAAATTTATGATTTGGTCCGTACACCTTTAAACCAGCTGCTGCTCACAACACACGCTGACTTCATTCATGCATGATCAAGCTGTGCCTAGTATACAGACCACACACACTACCCATCATCAAACAATCACAAGGACATTTACAGCCATTTCATTTATGTTTCGGAATCCAAACCCAGGGAGGGCATTTATGGATAAGTTATAAGTAAGTGTTCATGTAGAACCTAGGCGTATACCTTTTTATTCAAAGAGTGTATTTATTTTTACTTGCTCTTGTTCCAACCAAACTACTTGCAGATGTTTGAAATTGATTATAAAATACAGAGTGACGTAAAACAGAAAAATTAAGTTATAATAATAAAGTTATATGGTTTGAAAGCTTCTGGAAATAAAACTCCAGATTTCATCAAAACTCAAATGTCTTGCATGTCTCATCATAAAAGAATTGTCTGACATTATCAGTCAAAAGTTGCAGCCAATCTGATAAGAACATGAGACATGTACATGTTATTGTTAAGTGTAAGTGACAAGGGCAAATAAATCTAACAATCATGCAAAAAATCGTTATGGAATTATTTCTCTATTTATAAACTGGAATGCAGGTAGTTAAGACAAAAAATACAACAGAGGAGTTTTAAGTAAGGAGGTTGTGATGGACCATGGACCTGAAAATCAAAATAGACTTTATGGATTTTATGTTGGATTGGTAAATGACTTTTTGCTAGACTGTGCCAATCTAATCTGACAATTCTGATGCATACAGACTTAAACCGAAACCACCACACTGTCTTAAACTTTGCTCATCAAAAATGTCAGAAAGTATGTTGATGTCGCCTTACTCCTTTAAACTTTTCCTAGGACAAAAGTTTTCTCTCAAATTTAGCAGGGAGTGAAATAACAGCAAGCTTTAAATAATTCCAATTCATAAATAAGGGCAGATCCAGAGAGGTCGGTTTAAATGAATTATGCACTGAAATGTTCACGTTGGCGGGCAAAATCTTTGAAAATTAACTTCTCCCGTTTGAAAGACCATATTTTCATGCAACTTTTGGGGTTTATTTCCCTTATAATGATCCAAGTATGTGCTGAAAATCGTTGTGATATGTTCGTTACTTTTTGTTGAAATAGGGGGTGGCTACATGCATTTTAAAAAATTGTAACACTGGCGTTTGCAATATCTGTCAATCTTTTCAAGACTCACAAATATTAATAAGGTTCCCATCCATTATGGTGTGCAGTAAAAATTTGCAAAAAAGCCTCTTTCACAAGTTATTAATTAATAAATATCACCCTTTTTGCTGGCTTCCATTGGTCGATACCGAGACCCACGCCAAGTCACGCCGAGTGACGCTAATGAATATGCTTATTATGCCATCATCCATTGTGTTGCCAGGCTGAAATCGGTCAACCTTAGCGTCTATGCTGTAAACTATGCACGTGGTTTGGCCGGAAAAAAATCCTCATCTAAATTTAACTTGGAGATAGTTCAAGGTGTAACAGTAGCGTTTGCAACAGATTAAGCTGAAATTCGGAAAATACTTAAAATGATATTTATGTTCAACTACTCGTGAGATAACACCTTTCGGAAATTCCTAGAAATTGATACAAATACATAGATTTGGGGACGTTTTTGAACAATTTGCTTTACTAGTAACCAGTATTGAGGTTTTAGCATAAATGACAGTGATTTATTTTTCACTGACATGAAATTTAGAATTTTTGCTTCCGTCATTATTTAAAATTTCAATCATACTAAGCATATTTTCTGAAAAACACAACGTTCAAAAGGCCATATTTTTGGGGGTTCACAAATTTCACTGTTACAGCATCTAAGTACGTAACACAAGAAAATAATTTTCTGACTGGCAGTGAACAGCGTGATTGAGTGGTGATAATATTGGTCTATGATAAATTTGTCTCTTCATAGAAATTCTCGAATGTTCACATGGGACTTTCAGAGATTTGTTCAAGTGTGCCACGTTTTTACGGAATACCGTTGCCATGATTTGTTTGAAATTTCCTGGAGGAACCTTGTTTACTTTTATGACACTAAATTGTTTACGTATTTCAACATTTATTTATGTTTATGTTGTTGCATTTTTTAAAGGTGTTAGTTCCAATGTATTTATTTATTAACGGTAGAGTATAGATCATTTGCAGCTATCCAAAAAGTAACTGAAAAAAATATTGTTGAAAAACTTACTACTGAATTTAAAGACAGTAATGGCAATTAACTCCCTGTGAAATTGTTATTTCTGGCATGCTGTCACTTTGAAGAAAACCATAATAGAAGGCCATTTCCAAAGATGCTAGAAATCTACATTAGTAGTTGGTTTGTAATATTGCAAATCTGTGAATGGGTGCACGCAATCATTGACAAGATGCACATGCGCCGGCAATTGCTATTATTTGTTGTGTGACATCGGGTAGCTGCAATCGGCTGAATGAGAATGTGTACCAGATGCTGATTTTAGGCGTAATTCAGAACATGACTCGGCAAATTTTAAATTGAATCGAGATTCTAGAAATTTTTTTTCTCTTCAAAATATACAGCATTCACACAGCTAAAACTGCATCAGGTTAGTTGATAAGCAACTGTCATTAGATTTGAGAACTTTTGTTGCTTCAAACGAAAAAAATGCTCACCTGACAAATGATCTGCTCAACCTTGACTTTAAAGAATGAATTTGACGGCCATCAACAAAGAGATTTGGTTAACAAGAAAATTTCAGGGGAAAATATATCAAACTTTCCCATTTAATTAAAAAAAAAAACAAATGAGTGACTCACCCGCTCCAAATGCGAAGAAAAAACTCTTATCTTGATACAATTCCAATATTTCCTTGACACGGGAGGCCATGCGTCTATTTCTCTTATAGATCAACTCTGCCCGAAAATACTCGTCAATTTCTTGCGCCAGACTGATTTCATAGGGCCCCAGCGTAGAGTTGAGAAGGTTTGGCACCTGGGTTGTGTCATGGTTAAAGATGACCGAGTTCAAATTGCCACAGTTGTAGTGCCAAATAAGGTCCTCTGTGGTGTAGGGCCGACGACGGGTCCTACCAGCAGCTGCACGCATGATCTCTTGTTGCCATAGTGTTTGATTGAGAGCAAAAAGGACCTATATATCAACAAAAAAAGAGGTTTCGTGACAGAATTCAAAATGATCAAATTGAACAGGATATTTGACATCAAAATGACACCCAAACCCCTCCCCAGCCCCCCTCCCCATCCCATAAAACTAAAAGATCAAACCAGAAGCGCATTCACATGTACATACAGTCTACACAGACATACTCCCCCAAAAATTACATACATAAGTGAAATCTCGATTCCTCAAACCATGCAGCCTCAATAAGGGAACGGGTTCAAAATTTGACTCAAGAAGAGTTTTGAGTTTAGCAGGGTTGTATATCATTGTTATAGTACTAAGGGGGAATGGATTCTTTGTGACAATTGTTTTCAGTTACATGTATGAGAGTTTGACTTATCGAGATTTCACTATAGTACCTATTGGAAATTAATGCATGCACATGTATGTAAATGTACAATTAAATGGTAACAATTAAAAACTTAAACATTTTCTTGAATTGAGATTCCTCAATAAAATCAAAACATTTACTGCAATGAAATGAACCTTATTGGAAGTTGTAGAGCTGATCATAACTGAATTTGTTTTTTACCAAAATTAGCTAACAGCAAAGAATTCAGCATTTTTAATCTGAATATGGCTGGCCGGACGCGTACAGACGGACGGAAATCGGCATTACATAGGCTTGCATCTGCTTCGCAGTTTGCCAAAAAGAGAAAGCCCCTTATGCTATATGTCACGAAGTAAACAAAGTTAGATCACTTTGTCTAGATATCCTATGAAGTTTTTACACTGTGCCCTATAATTACATCAACGGCACGGTCGGCTCTGAAATACCGACTTACGCTGAAGTAGCCACCAAATGTAATCAGAAAACACAAATGAACAGTGTGAGCCGCGGAAACGATCACCGGGATTTTCGTCAGCAGGAGTGGAAACAACGGAAAAGAACTACCACATCAGTGCCACTGCCAGAGGTTTTCCGACCAACAGTCCGTCCTGCAAGTCATCACAGGCAGCGCACCCCACTACCGTCACAGGAGGAGGAATGGCGCAGACATTGGGTGAAATTCACGCACAAGTACAATTTATAAGTAACAACATTACGGACTCTGTTGAGTTGATTAAAGACAGGCCAACAAACGGTGTTATTAACTGTCCTACCCCGAATAATTGCTTGGCTGATAATGATGATAGCTTTACCTCCCTTGACAAGTTTAAAAAGGTAAGGGGCTTAATTGCTCATTTAAATGTACAAAGCCTAAGACCTAAAATTGATCAGTTGCGTCTTCTCATGGCTGAACATGAAATTCATATTCTCACCTTGATTGAAACTTGGCTTCATGGTGGTATTAATGATACAGAAGTTAATATTGATAACTACACATTGATTCGTGCCGATCGTATAGGTGATAACCATGGAGGTGTTGCCTGTTACATCTCTAAGCATAACTCTCATCGTGTCATGGCTCGAGTAAACTGTGACATCAAATCTTGCTGGGTGGAAATAAATTTGAAGAAGAGTAAGCCAATTGTTCTAGTTGTTGCTTACCTTCCAAAACAAAAGACCGGATCATCTTTTCAAATTTAGGCATGAAGTTATTGACCAGTATGCTTCTAATAATTATGAATTAATTGTTGCGGGTGATTTTAACTTAAATATGTTTGATAGTACAGAGCGTAAAAAAAATGATGACTTTTGCTGTGAGCTGCAGTTCTCAGTTAGTTAATAGTCCTACAAGAGTCACTGATACTTCCAGTACTTGCATTGACCTATTTATGACATCTCATTCTAAGAACATCAATGTCATCGGTGTTATTCCTCTTGGTATCAGTGATCACTGTATAGTATTTATGTAACAGGAAAATCAATGTTAATCTTAAAGTTCCTCCCAGGGTCTCGAGCGTCAGAAATTTCAAATTTTCACGTGCCTTGGCATTTGGTCGAAAACATCACTGATACTGATGCTGCTTGGGGCACTTGGGAACAAATGTTTAGAAACCTTAGTGATTTTACCAAAATAATGTCTGATGTTTCTTCATTGTGACTAATCATCACATTGGTGGTTGTAAAATAATGGAGCTGGCCTTGGCAGCAGCCCTCCTCCCCCCTAAAAAAAATTAAAAACCACAAAAAACTACAAAGAAAACCAAAACTAGAACTATTTCCCGCATTATGATTTTGTTTTAATAGGTGAAATAAAAAAACATGTTAAGCGTCCTACCTTTTTGAAAGAAAGGAAGCGGGAGGCCCCTTTTGTCTCCCTTCCAAAATGGCTGCCCAAGCGGGCTATTTTTCTAGATGGCCACCAGGATTTTTTAAATGGCCGCCTTTGGACTCAGGATATGACATATAGCAGTTTTATATGGGCTGTATGCAACAGATATTAAAGAGGCCAAAATTGTTGGAAATTTATCATTTTTGGTTTAAAAAAAAAAAAAAAAGGGGGCGACGTGGTCTTTTAAATGATAATTTCATGAACAAAATGCATTTAAATTAGCTTGTAGCCAAAATATGAAAGTTTAATTATTTATTAAAAATCAGTCGGTCGATGATGTCATCTTGATGATGAATTATAAAAGCAAACTTGATCTATTTGATGTGCTGCTAGAGGGTGCCCTTTGGTCATCATGCTGTTTTTTGTGTCTGACATTCTTCACTAAATACGTCCATAATTTATTTGCCTATAGTAAATACTTCCGCTTTCGAGTTATATTCCATTTTTATTGCACTTCCGGTATAAACACCGGAAGTGAAAGTCAAGGGGTTTTGTGCCCGAGAGTAAGAAATGTTGCTCAAGGCATCAGCTAAAACCTCACAAAAATGACCACGATACTTTTAGTTCAAAAGATATACATGTAGCTCAAACTATTTTGTAAAAGTCAAGCGAGTTTATGTACAGGACAAAAATGTTTATCAATTAATAGTCTGTCTGGATACACAGTGTGAACAAGACTGTTCATGTTATTCAAGAGTTATAGGTGAAAGAATGCCATTTTGTCAATGAAAATCGCTTGTAATTTGACACCTGATGACATCATCATGACATCAGAGTAATATGCACTACTGGGGATGAGGTTCGATATATGTTGAAAGTTACAAGTTCATACAATAAACCATTTAGGAGAAAACCTGCTGAGAATTATTGTCGAGAAAAAAGGAAGAAAGAAAGAAAGATTTTAATATCAGAACAATTCTAAACATTGGTCGGGTTGTGCTCAACCACTCAAAAACAAAAACCTTTCACTTCTTTGCACGAATTACCATGATTTTGTAAATGTTCACTACCGCACAACTATGCCAAAGTACGTCTTGTTTCCACTTTTACGTGTAGTTACCAAGCTTATACAGGCCCATATAGTACTGTATGTGTATGACACAGGGCAAAGGTGGAAAAGTTTAGAAAGAAAAGTCCTCATGAAGGACACATCACCTGCCTGCCATAGTTATTCAGCAGTCAGAAATTATGTAGGTATTTTAATCTGGAATGGCCTTCATACTCTAATTGAGCAAAGGAATAATGACTTATTATGGATAGGATGAAGAAATCAAGAGAATTGGCTATTTCTTATTGGTACATGAAACATGAAAGATTAGGCTGGATTTATTTTATTTGTCTGACGATAATCAAGTGTCCTTCAAATCAGGTAGAGAATCACTACCATTATTCTGCTAATTGACAGGATTGAATCTTGAATACATGTTGGCAATATATGGCAGTCCTGTGTCCATCATCTCCCTTCTGCTAGTTTTGGATAGGAAGAACTGGTTAAGGCCAAAAAAAAAAAGTCTCCGGTTTCTGGTATGCGCGCGCGTCGCCGTAGCCATGCGCGTCGGCAAAATGAAAAAGTTTTTTTTTCAATGAAAGATGATGTCTCAAAAGCGCCACACTCACTGGTTTGACTGGAATTCTGCTGCTGCGCAATTTCAACGTGTTTTTTGATGCCCGGGTTATGATCGAGAATAAGCTTTATGTGGCCTCTCTGGACTCTCTGCACTAAGTTTAGTCGGGCACCATTTGCAGTCATCAGCCGACATTTGAAGCAAAAAAGTCGGGTAAAAAAAAAAAAAAAAGCCGTGTCGCCCCACCACTGTTTGGACAAGCTCCATACCAGAAACCGGAGACTTTTTTTTTTTGGCCTAATAACTTGTAATAAATATCCGTTCATCTAGTTAATGCTGGTCGAATATACAGGGAATTTGACATCCCAACACTTTAACCATTATTTTCTGCACCACAAAATACTTACGGTGACACCATAAATGTTTGAAGTGTGTTCATACTTTTACCAAGTATATCAGCCTTAATAGCCGTTTACCTGTCAGCTGTGTTTAGTTTTGCTACTAATTAAACAATTCTCCAATGATAGGATTTGCAAAAAGTACAGTGCACTACAGTGTCTTCAAGGAATTATTCAATTTACTCAAAGGGAAGTACATGTACGTACACTTGTATAATGTATAGTGCACTGCTCATTACTGGTGTGCACAATTATCAATTCCAGAGAGTATTCAAGCTTTTGTCCAATGCTTTTAGTCACTGCTACTCCCAAAAGGGAAAATGCCAAATGTTATTTATGATAGTAATACAATAAAAAGACAAAGGAAGCGATAGAAGATAAGCCAGAACAAACTTATTGGATTAAAAGCGGGGAAGGATAGTGATGAATGAAGTACAATTATCGAATAATTTAAGGGAGAAAGTAAAGAAAACCTCTCCTCTTTTAAACTAAAGGCCATGATTTTACAAAACTTCAGAAGGAATTTGAGCTAACTTCAAAAAACATTTATCAGGAAAACGTCAATTTGCTCAAAGAAGCTAACTCTTTCTAAAACTACTGGAGGATATAGTCCCTCATCCCCTTACGGCAGTTGCTTCAGTCCTACCTTCAAAGTTCAAGGAATCACATAATAAGTGCCCTGCATTTCCAGCAAAATAAACTGTTCAGGACAGCCCACAATTGCTCTCAGTGTAATAAATTTGAGAGATTAAATGGCATTGCCTCAGGGTGCACCAATTCAGCAAACG